GCAATAGCGCAATACATCAAGACAAGAAGCAAGAAACAAAGACAGCAAGCAAGCATGAATGCATGCAAGCAAGCATGCAAACAAGCACGCACGCGGCTTAGCGACCCACCGAGCGACCTGACTACATGCTAACAACCGCACGAAACCACATCAGTACGCAAAGAATTCCAACCCAGCAGGCCAGCAGGTCTGGCCTTCCTGGCAGCCGATCAATCCACCAACGAAATGTCCGTCACTCTCTCCAGATCTTGATGCCCAAGCAATATGTGGCAGCAAACTGATAAGACCAATGTCAGCCAATACCCACGAGATGCAAAACCGACACGGGGTATTCAAAACCGCAAACCCTGCAAGGTCGACCGTTGCTCAACTAGCCAACCTTCGCACTCATGTTCTCACAAAATGGGAACCACCACGCGTGATATGGTAGCAATTTCGACACATTTCTCACATCGCCTGCCTGTATGAACTGCTGAAAGTTGACCCATCACACTCGCGCACAGCTGCAAATGGTAGCCATCCTGACGATTCGCTTCAGGGATATGAAGCCAGATATTTCCCTGGATGAGCAAGAACAAAAGCAAGGGCGGCCTGGAAACTCGTCACGCAGATTTGCCAAACACAAGAGCGATGTAAACGAGATCAACCTTTTCGACATCTGGCGCGCGTCTCCCCAAAGCGATCAGAATCATAATTACCTTTGGGCACACTCCGACATAGCACCTACCGGGCTTGGGCTTGGTCCATTGCCAGCAGGATTCAAGCACATTGATGGCAACTGCTCGGTGCACATCAAATGCAATGCTACATGGAAAAACCTCACCACTTCCAAACCAGCCAGGGTGCCCATTGAGTTGGATGGACTCACTCGCTTTGGTGTCAGGCCATGAACAATCAGATGGTGGAAGTAAGATAGGACAAGCTTTCACGCAGTCCCTCAGAATCCGCCAAGTGGCATAGGTCGGAGTCTCACATGTGCCCTCCCCCCACCCCGGACCACATGCATCGATTCGCGCCAGCGGCCTCTATGTTCACCCCGACAACCAGATGGGAGCTTGACAGAATCATTTGGGTGTTGGTGCTTTGCGATTCCGAGGTGGGGATCTGCTGGTCAGCTAGTGAAGGGGGGCATCACAGAGGGTGTGCTTGTAAACAAGCAGTGAAGCTGCTTGGTAGCTGGCCTGACACCATGGGGCGGGCGACAAAGAACATGAAGTTGAATACACAAACACACCGACACACCAACGCACAATGCACAACACACAACACACAACACAGACACGCGTAGACCTCAACTAGTTTCCTTGTGTGATCCATAAACGTGCGCTTGGCATCTGGCAGCAAAGCTTGCACCTCGACGCCGCGAGTCTTTGATTGCAGGTTTAACAGCCTTGAGGTGCCTTGGACTTTGACTTTGATCATCTGGCTGTCCTTCGAATAGCAATGCCCCGTAACTCCAGGCCACGCAGTACCTGGCTCCAGTTTGTGGCAAAGTGCACCCATTGGCAGAATAATATTAGCCAACTGGCATCCCCCGATCTCAATAAAGCTGCTTCGCAACGGTCGCTTGCACCCTGACTTCAGCGAGGAAGCAAAAGCAGAGCTGCAAACAAGAAGAGCAAATGATGGAGAGTCCAAAATGGCTGAAAGCCCAGGAACCAGAGCTGCTGCAAAGTGGAGAGTGGCGTGCGGCCCTGGTCTGGCCGCGCGCTAGGTCTTCCAATCTATGTTTGTGAAACAGGGCCAAGCAAATCATGCCCAAGACAGGGCCCTTGAAAACACGATTTAGTTATTGGCAAGCACTTGCCAACATGTCCTGGCAACCTCCGCAGGGTTTCTTGCGGGCTTGGCGTTCTAGCGGGACTTGAACAGGAAGGCCAAAGCCCTCATTTCAGGGGACATGTCGTCTGCCGCAACTTTCCGAGTGAAGCTGGTGGGCCACCACCCAGGTATCAAAAACTCAGGGGCAGACCATAAGGAGCACCTTTCAATACTGTAGAGGATCCATGTCTCAAGGCCCTTCCCAAGCAAACAACTGCGAAAAGAACACTGAAAGGGGGTCCTTTCAATAGTTGGTCATTTCTTCCATGCACTCGCATGAAATTGACTCATTCACTCCAGGTCACAGCTGGGTGGCATCCAGCGAGGCGTTCACCAGGTTCAGCGGCGTTCCATCCTGCTGACTGGGCTGATCGCCACCAGCACCAGCCCAACAGCCATGACAGCCATGACAGCCGCAACAGCCATAAAAACCATAGCCGCCAGGAACATGGCGGCAACAACAAAATTGGAAACAGTAGCTGAAACAAGGACAAACACAAGAACCAGAACAGCAAAGGAAATCAAAAGGACAGAAACAAACACAAAACACGCAACAGAAACAATAGCAACAACCAAACAGCACCCGAGCCAGTCAAAATCAATCAAAATCAACCCAGCACAATCCATGTGTGTGCTTGCAGGACATCAATGCATTGCACTAATCAAGCTGCAGCCCAACATCACTAAACAAGCTTGCAATCAGTGGAAGTGTGAGAAGGAGCATGAAATCACGCAACCTACGCACCCTCAGGACTCGCCCTAGCTTCTCCTTGCCCCAGCTCAACCTTCGCACAGGCAGAACGACCAAGGGGCCATGGTCACTCAGGTCACCTGCCTCAAGGCGGACGTGCTGCGCGGCACCTGGGGCAACTTGTGTGGCTGACCCAGAATGGCACCTTGTTCCGTCCGACGTTGGACTGGTATGGCCATGGACATGCAGAAAAAAATGGGATTGTAAAGGGAGATCGTTTTAGCTTTCAGACAAGGGCGTGCAGCGCCCCCAAAACTGCAAACGCTTGCAAAAATGTCTTGCGTTCATTGAATTGCGCACTAGGTCCGCCAGCGCCGCTTTGTTTTAGCATAGGAGCCACAGTCAACATTCGCCTCGGCCCCGGGAAGCGGTCAGACCCCTGCAGAATCTCCTCGCAATCTTCTCAAACCCCATCCCCAACTCCGACATTGGTCCGTCCAGCCCCAAATCCCTCCTTGCACCCTTCAAAACCGATCAAACCCCCCTCTTTTTGTGTGTACAAGCTTGTCATTTCCCCTTCTAGAAGCCGATAGAAACCGGTCAACATCCCATCCAGATCCAGTCACACCCCTGTGAAGACAGGTTCAACTCCGGTCAAATCCCGCTAGAATCTCCCCTTAAGACCATAGAAGCCAGTCAAACTCCCTTCTAGAAACCTGTCAAATCCCCTCTGAAAACAGGTCCAACTTCCGTCAAATCCATCTAGAAAACGGCAAAATCCCCCCTTCCCAAATTCCCTAGAAGTTTGGACCTCGCTTGGCCCATCCTTCTGTAGCTCTCTGCTCTGCGGCTCTCCTTGAAGCCAGGTGGAATCACGCGGACATGCACCCACCCGCCAGCTTGGATACCAGCTCACGCATTTCGGCGCCGACTCACTCACTTTAAAAACAACGCTTCAAGGCAAACTAACTCAAAGCCAGCCAAAAGCGGACTGGCCGAAGCGCGCAACGCGAAGCGTTTACAATTAGTCCAACACATGCATTCAGAGTTCATCGGTTTCCACCCTTTAGTATTTTGCATGCACACATGATGAGACCTGCTTCATCAGGACTTTGATCCCGTTTCATGTAAGTATCAAACACATCACTCGGCAGCGTGGAATCAACGGCACATGCAGGATGCGCTGAAGGAAGGGTCAGGACAAACTGGCATGAAGTAGCTTGTGATAGACTGGGGTGAGGTGGCCCAATGTGGTGGCTGAGAGCCAAAGCATCTGTTTGCCAGAAGGCAGCTGCATCACTTCCCAGACTCAAGTACGGTCAAACATAGCTATTTTGGAGCGGCATCATCACGAGATCGCAATTTTTATTAAGACAAGAGGCAGAATTATTGCATATTTGGAAATTAAACTCCCGGCACAATGCCAGAAATGGCATCCCACAGTTTCATGTGGCCATCTAAACAGTGGGTACCGTGCCACTGTTTATAAACACATCTGAAACCTCATCTCTTGGAGTTGCCTATCACTGCTTCAGACCACTTCCCCAGGCTCGTCTGCTTCCCGGCCTCGGACGAAAAGGCCCAATGCTGGCAGATCCGGCAGTGGCAAGAACTCGTCCAGGTAATAGGACAAAGCCATGCCCACAAACCGCAAAAACTGGGGCGGCGTCTGAGACGATTCTGTCCATCTCTAGTCTTTTGCTTCTGTGATATGCAAGATAGATCAGAAATGGCCTCTCGTCTAAGTTCAATGTGCTGAACCGGTGAAGCGCGTAGAAGCATTGCCCATGATCCTTCGTGAGTGTTCGCTGGGAAGCACTGACGCTTCTGGTTTGTACAGTCTTGTGTACTCCTGATCAAACATATTCCCCTCATTCAAAGACATTTTATTTGGCTTGAGCCTGAAAGGCCATGCAGAATGGCTGGTAGCGCTGTATGAAGCATGCGTATCATACCAAAAGAAAGCTGAACAGCAAAAGGCAAACAACCCCCAAGCACAAATACCTCAGAAACCTCCATCAGAGGGTGGCTCCAAGGACACAATGGCTAGCGGAAACTCCACGTCAGCTTGCGCGTGCCCCAGCCTCAGTCCGAACAAAAGATATGTCCAGAATCAAATGTGCTGACTGCACATAGTCACTCATGGCGATGCAATGCATATCAACACCACCACTCTTTTCTGATAGCTGGCGTCTGTGCCTATTCCACCAGCGTGCATCTTAACGCCTTGCATCGATAGCCCAATTCAATGGGCTGTTTGAGTTGATAGGTGAACTGGTGGCTTGATGTGTACTCCTCCTTGGCAATCCAACAATGAATACCTTTCCCGGGTACCTTGTTCCAAAGAAGCATTTCAACAGGCTTTCAACTCTGAACTCCCAGGCGACGGCTCACGCATCAAACGAACACCGCCAAGTTTTTCTTCTCCGACTTGGGCTTCCGTACACAACAGTAATCAAACCTGTCTCCACAAAACTCACCTCTTGTCGCCAAATAGCATGTTTACAGCACAACTGCAGGGCGAGCTGGCCATTCAAGGAAGTGGTGTTCTGCACCAGTACCTTACGAATTCTTGGATTCATCTCCGAAGCACAGCTGCCAACCCAAGGACATCCGACTCTCGGAAGCCTTGGGTTGTCTTTGCAGCTCGTATTTCAAAGTGGTCGAGCCGGAGCGACCCTGGCGAATTGCTTAGTTTCATGACATTTGGGGCGAGGCCCCCTGCATACAAACGGCTCCAAAGATTTCGTGGTGACGTGGGAATTCTGCGTTTCTTGCGGCACACAAAGGTCCTTAGAGAAGCCGAGCCCTCGTCTTGGAAGTCACCTAGCAGAAAAGGGCACCTAATTTATGTAAACCATGTGTCTAACGCCTAGCGAACCCATGCACGCGCAAGAGCCTGGCAAACAGGGAAGCATGCAAAGTTTTGCAACCAGGCTGTCAAGGCAATTAACCGCAATCCTCTGCCCAATCCAGTCGTAGCAGTGGCAATAGCAGTAGTAGTAAGTAGTACTACGTAGTACTAGTAGTAGCACTCGTAATCGTAGTAGTAGTAGTAGCAGTAGTAGTAGTAGTAGTAGTAGTAGTAGTAGGCAGCAGCAGTAGCAGTAGCAGTAGTAGTAGTGGTGGTAGTAGTGGTAACAGTAGCAGTAGGCGTACAGCGTACCCTTCACCACGGTCAGTCATCAGAATGGGTCAGTTTACGCCCCCGAAATGGAAGAACTAAGCAGGTGTTCAAGAACCCAAAAAAGGAAGAACGATGCCCCGAAGTCGCGACCGAGGAGCGCTTTTCGCCCTCACTGCAGCCGCTCTAGCATCAAGGCGCACTGACCTGGCGTGCGGCGGGGAGATAACCTGGTTGCAGCAAGTAGTCCTTCAAACCTACGCAGCGGTCACCCATCTGAGGCTCCATCAGTGTGGGTCACAACACTTGAAGGGCTGCTTTTTGCAGCTTACCACCAGTATCAACTGATAGAACTGACAGGACCCTAGGCAAGCAGGAAACCAAGCAACATCAGAGTAGCCAACATGGCCAAGTTTTCTCTGCGTGCAAGCGCAAGGCACCAGCAGGTTCAACATTTAGTGCTTGGACCCATGTGAATCCAGCTCTCTGGCTGGTCGCGGCAATGCAACAATTATTCTGAAAGCTGAACCTGTTAAATTGTGCGCCGACCTCGGCAGTGCTAGCTTTGGCTTGGAAGCTCGGGCTTTGAAGTGGATGACCGTGGCATACGGATTCTGAGCCCATGGGGCCTAGCTTTATTGAAAATATGATATTGCCTGGCCTTGCCTCCTGATGCGTCTTTTCTCGGAGAGCCGCCAGACAAAAACGGACACACCCGTGCAAAACGTTGTCGAGCTCATTGCTGAGATTTGGGCCGTTCTGTTTGGCAACAAGATCCATGAGAAACCAGGATCTGTTTGATCATCTTTGCATTGTCTGAGACTCATGCCTTGCAGCCCGGCATCAGACAGAGTCTGCTTTCGGTCCTCGTGCACTGCACAGCAGCTTTGTCAGGAACATGTTGACACGCGCACACACACACAAGCGCGCGAGGATGTTCGCACATATCAGCAGCATCACGCAAGCTCTCTCTCTCTCTCTCTTTCTCCTGCTGCACTAAAATCATTCCTTTCCGTGCTTGCCTCGATGCAACGTTTCCTGGTGATCTGCTGCTGTGCACGCCTGATTGCATCAACCACAGGACATTGGTGAGACGCAGCGGGAGGTCGGGGAAAGAAACAACTTTTGGGAGTGAGCAGGCAATTGTCACTCTCTCCCACCAAGAAAAGAGATATGGCCGGGCAACAAAGGAGTCAGGGAAGTCAAGGGATGGAACGGGTCTCTCTTTCTCGCTCCAGTTTCACTAGAGTATGCTAGATAGGACGAGAAGAGGGACAAGATCCATTCCTCCAAACTCTATTCCCTCTCTGTGGCCGCCCATTGTCGATTGCTTCGGGGCGGCATGAGTGAGAGAGGTTAGCTGACCAGGGATTTCACGCTGTGGCCTGTCTGTTCCATCTCTCACACTCGCTTCCTTCTACCTCCTACAGCCTGAACCTACAGAAGTGGATTACCTCGGAGTCGGTGGCATACCAGGAGAAGCAGCGATGCATATACACATAAAGTCAATGTTTGTTCATGCCAATAAACTCCTAAAGAATCTAGATTCAGAAATTTGCCATTTCTTTTCCCTTACGGTCTCTGGAAGGATACAAAGGCTCTTGGGCACCCACGAATCGCCTTTGATTACCTTATCTCACTCATAGCTTCCCGAGCATTCATAGTATATTCTTGAAAATAACTCTTAGCTTGTTCATTTTTTGCGAGATGAGACAGGCTTACCCAGGTGTCCCTTGTCTGGGGAAGAAATGGAAAGGTGGGTGATCATTTATTTCATTATTTGGTCTACAATATGAAACATCGATAATTCCAAGAAGATAATGATGGATAAAACAAATGGCCTGTCAGCTCTTGGAACCGCATGCCAGGCAAATGAACAGAGCGAAAGAGAGCGGACTGGTGACTCTCTTTGTTCGCTCTTCTCTCTCACACATATCTATCCTCTCCAAAGAAAACCACATCAAATGGAGTATTGATATGCGAGAGAGGCCCTTCCCTTCTCTTTTTACCTTTCAATGAGACGCTGTAGGAGTTGGAAGGGTATGGAAAAAAGGATGAACGCGAGGAACGTGGCACCATGCCAAACTGGGAGAGAAAGATAGACACTTATAAAAAACAAATGTAGATGCCGTAAGCTTAGAATGCTATCTGTCTCCAGTTCTGTCTTCTATCTCCGTCTCTTAGCAGCTTTTTGGAGGATTCAAAGATTTCCTCCAAGCAAGAACTAGATGATCTTCCTAAACAAGTTCTATGTAGATGAAGGAAATGAACACAGACAGGAAAGTGAAGGCAAATCCTGCCATGAAGCATAGACAAAAGCTATTAACATGTAGGAATGCAATGGAAAAGAAAGGCATGGATAATTCCCAAGTTGTTGATGTTAAACACTTAGAATATATCAAGTATGATATAGCAACTTGGGAATTAGAATGATCAAATAGACATGTAGAACGATACATACAGTTCATTAGAATAAGCAAACACAATATGTAGACAAATACTTTAAATGAGGATCAACAAAAAACAAAACAGAAACTCCAAGACTACAAATGCAAAACACTAGCACAATACCGAAAATTAAATCTATATTAACAGCAATATGTGTCTCTATGTCCAAGCTTATTAAAACAAACCATGACGATTCGCTCACAACTAATGTCCTTTCCTTTCATGTCTCTCTTCTATCTCTCCTGGACGAATCCTAGTCGCAAAGGAACAAACACAAAGAGACAAATTACGGAAGAACAGAGAGAGGAAAAAACAGGTTCCTGTGTTCTATTTACTGCACTCATAATTATTACCTCCTGATGTAATCGGTGAATCCGGGAAATGTAGACAGAGGATATAGGTAAGTCTTATGTCTGGGCTGCGATTCTATCACTTCGTTCACAATAAAGACATGTGATTTACAAATAGATAATAGACATGTGATTCAAGGGACTGGTCTTCCTCTGCCAATGTCCAGCCTTCCCTCCCTCCCTCCCTCCCTCCCTCCCTCCCTCCCTCCCTCTCTCTCTCTCTCTTTCTCTCTCTCTCTCTCTCTCTCTCTCTCTCTCTCTCTTCATCACTTGCCTGGCAAAGATACGGAATTTGGACATTATAAGATAGGTAAGTGACAGCCTGGAAGGAATGCTAGCTCTCTTTCATTTGCTTTCCCTTTTTATCACATCCCCGTTTCAAGAGCTCCTAGGAGTTTATGCCGTACAACGAGTGGAGAAGGAATCGAAGGGACGGGATGGCCGTGTCTCCAGCAAAAAATGCGCGGGCAAAATCTCATGTCCAACATGAGGTATCGCCTTGAGAACTGGTGTGTGTATAATATATATATATATATATTGTATGATATTGCTTGCTAAATGTCGTGCATCGCCATCCTTCAGCCATGGCCCGTGCGCTTGTGTGAGGACGCGAAAGCAAAGCTCCGGTCGCCTGCCTCCGCCCGTCCAAATAACGGACCCCCAAGGACAATGATTTGAAGCAGCGGAACAACCTCGCAAGCAACAAGTCCTGGTACTCCTTCCGTGGCATGGTGGACACCAGCTGAAAGGCCTGAGGCAAGAGCGCTGTCAGTTCATCGCTTCAATGCTTTGGGATGGAGCGCTCTTGTGCTTGTGGGGTTCACAAGGATCCACGTAACGAAACGACGTGCTTGAACTAAAGCCTGGAAATGGATTGTAAAATGCGGGAACGGCACAAATTCCATCGTTTTCGAGCTTCACTACACCTCCTTTTGCATGATGGGGTTTGTCCTGGTTGGACCAGCTTCTACCTGTGCCTGCGCCACACTACTTGACAGGCCACAGTTGCTGTTCGTGCTATATATACTTGCTCAGCGGAACTACCGAAGAGGAGCAGCGCTGCAGTGCTTCTGTCATACATGCTTTTACTTCTGTAAGTTCGGGCCCACCGCGGGGGCCGCCAACGAGCTTGTCAGGATACAACAGTAAGAAACGATGCAGCATGGGACACGCTTGCTTGCTCAAATTCTTAGTAGTTCGAAAGAAACACTCCACCTGGCATATGACCACTTGAGCCGATGACCTTGGACTCGTGGCACAAGCGACACCAATGCTGTGTGTGCGCTCCCCGCTCAGGCAGTATTCGGGCCAAAAGTTCCTGACCAACCTCACTTGGGTTTGTCCAGGCCTCATCCCCCAAATGGCCCTCCAGGTGCAGGTAGTCGTACACCTGTCACGGAAAGGAATTTCCATAGCAAGGCGCAAAGCCATGGTCAACACCAACTGTTGCACTGTGCTGATATGTCATGCTGGCAAACAGAAACGAACTCCTTGAGTTCCTCAAGCTTCTAGCCATGGACTGCGCCAAAACAAACAAGCGACCAGGTGGGAAGCATGTTGGCTTCAAAAGACGCAACACTGGCTTTGAATAACCAATAGATGGCCAGCAAGCTTGGCCGGTGGCCAACTGCTCCTGTGACCCCAATCTCGTGCCGCAGCACCATGTCTGGTCTCTTCCACTCCAAATCAGGCACGTACTTTTTCTGCAAATTGATGCGGCTGGTTTGACCAGTTTCGTTGGTACCCCCAAACATATCACAGGGGACCAAGCCGCCGAAGCAAGCACATGCTTACAGGAATCATGACGCAAGCTACGGAAGTTATTTGCTACCGGGTTGAATGGTCAGGTCCCATCTCATTCTCCAACCCAGCACACGTGTTTGGACTCATTGACCTCGTGTACCAACACCACATGGCTGCGATCTCAACTACCAAAAGGGATGGCCCTCCCTCGCTTGCGGGGCTCTCCGACCTCGTCTTGCACCTCATTCAGTATGTTACCCCAAGCAGGCAGCCCCTCATGTCAAAGTGTTGTCAAGCGTTGCTGCGTAGAATATATGAACATACTCTAGCAATGCACACAGTATCATCAAAGTCTGACCTGGCTCGATCCAAATTCTGCCACAGTTTAGAGGAACTGACTGGCTAACATGGCCAGCAATGTCTTCTTAAGTTCAGGAGTCGAAACCAAGTAACCCAAGCAATTGTGGATTGAAGCCAGCACATCAAAGATCATCAAAGAGCTGCACTCTTCGGTTAGACACTTCCGTGACGGTTGCAATGAATTCTCCTCAACACACCCGTCTGAAGGCATAGTTCAACATTGCAATCATACTGCCTATAGCATTGTGATCTGCTACCATCATCAAGTCATTGTGTGTGTGTGTATCTCGATGGCACTTGGGCGACTACCCGCAAAAAAAAAAACACTGGCGCCCTTACAATCAATGTTAGGAGCTGCGCACTTTAACTTTATCTTCCGCATAATCTGCACATTGCTTGCATCACAGCTCCGGGACACATTGGACATGTTCAGACAGGATTACGATTTCCTAATTCCTTGTCATCGGTTTTAGGGTGTCTCATCCAAGGCGAAGTCACACACCAAATCGCACAACATGTCCGTTCCAGGATTTCAAGCTTCAAGCAATGCCAGCCAAATGCGTTCCCGTGCCTGCCCAACGGTGTTTGAGACCACAAATCGACGCCTGCAGAGAAGTCTCCAATAGGCCATGGGGATATCCAAGCTTTGCAAAGGTCACTTCAGGCTCGCAATAAACTGTCCATCTCGCAAAGCATGAACATAGAAAAACATCACCGACTTCTGCATGCCAGGAAAGTGTTAAGTACAACAGGCACGAATGTTATGAGGCCATCTGCCCAAACAATGTGGACTTTCAAGCCTCATGCAATAGAACCTGCCCAACAGCGCGAATCAAAACAATGATCGCCTCAGCAAATGCTTCGTCCAAAGGAACCAAATTGGTCCGCCTGACTCGGCGCCCGTCGGGAGTGCGGATCTGCAGGTCCACCTTGTCGGGCCTGACAGAATAAAGGGGCAAGCGCCACTCACAGCGAACGGCGCTCCCAGAAACAGCAATTATGTCTTTGAACGGCCAAGGCCCCGTTTTCACAAGCACCGGCGCCAAGTTGCACGAATCAGACTTGGATCGCACATGTTCTCCTCCTGATATTTTCATGTAAGCTGACCGCATTTGCAACCTCAAGAGCTTATATTGACTCTCAAGCAAATGCGTCAGAACTGCATATGTACGTTTACAAGCCTCTTGTTTATACAAAAAACAACACAGCTGGGTAAATACATATCACGCTTGTGAGGACATTTACTGCACCGCTCCCCGCGTTTTCCGGGCTCCCAAGCGCATCCGCGGGGGGCTCCGGCGGCAGGTTCTCCGCACGGAGCTGCTGGGCTTCTAGCCGCTGCCGCTCCTCCCCGTTTCATGCGGGGTTTATCCAAAACATGGAGGACAATAAGGATCACTGATCAACGTAACAACACATTGAACTTTAGCTTGATCCAACAGTATCAACATCATGTTGAGAGCTTGGATACTAAAGTTCCTTAAGGATGATATATTGACTATGTTGATATTGACAAATGGGCATACTGAAAGTTCCTGTAATCGTCGGTCGAAAACTGTAGCATGGCTTTTAGCGGAGCTGGGAAGGTTTTGCCTTTTCAACATGGCCGCCCGTTGGATGATGGTGGCAATGACCACGTGCCAAGACCGGCGAGTGGAGTCGAAGAAGCGACTGAATCCATCAAAAGGCCCGATTTGCTTGTTTCAAACTTGGAGAAGTTACGGCAATCTCAGCTGTGGGTCAAGCCCCTTCAACCAGAATATGTCTGTTCGCCGTAAGTAAGGTTCACATATTTTAAGTGGGTGCCAGAATTAAGCCCCCCAAGCGCGGGCCTCCTGCTGCTGCCGTTGAAGCTCTGCTTCCTTTGCGGCCTGGCAACCACCAAAAACCAGCACAGCGTGGAGGTCAGAGGTCAAAGCGGCACAACGAGAAAACGACGTGGGAATCGTCATCTTTGAATCATGAGCATCCAAAGGAACAAAATGCACACAAGTCTGTTTTGCCTCAAACTCAAGCAACTCAACCAGTAGTCGCCTTTTCAGAACCGAATATCGTTGCTTCATTCGAGGAATTCCAATGACTGCAATAAGCACAGGGGAGGACGTCCTGGTTCTTCAAAGCATTGGCTCCGTTTTGACGCCTTAGCTTGGTTTTGGCCCTGTTCAAAGAAGCAAAGGTATAGGCAACCGCTCATCTTAAACTTTCCGGTCACTCTACTCCGTGTTCATTAGTACATGAAAAGACTATTGGTGGCATCTGTTCGCCTTTGAGCAGCCACCTCCCATGCACAACTGTTCGCAGGATTCGACATTGGGCCATCCCAGTTGAGTGAATATTCCAACAAAGTAAAGCGAGGGATCGCTGACATTGGCGATCCGTTCATTCAACCTCAAAGGGCCATAATCCCAAGGCAGGAAGATATTGGCATGGCCCGAATCATTTCGGATTCCGACTTCCTTGGCCCTTCACCTGGCCTCTGAAGCCCTCTGCTGCTCCTCCTCCTCCAAACGCCTCCGCGCGGTGCAACCAATCCAAGACCAAGCTCGCTGGAAAACACAAGCAAAAGCATGCAAAAGATGGATTCCAACCCGAACAAGACAAGTTTCAAAAAGGGGACTATGTTATGCTGTGATTCACTGCGGCCTCTGGGAAGGGTGGAACCTAACCAATAGAAGTGGTCAAAAAACGCTATGGCTGCACGTATTGTACACGCTGCCGCGGGGAGATGATGCGTGTTTAACTTTATGTTGCTTTCTTATTTAGCTTCATTTAGCCTTCTTCTAGCTTTACTACAGCTTGATTATATACAATATCTGATTGTTGCGTGAGACATTGAGACGACCTGCACTGCTAAATTGTTTTTCGGAGACTATGTACGTGGCTTTCCTGGGACAGACTTACATGGTGGACACCACCATTAGCATCACTATTGTTGTGGGCAAAAGCAGCTTTTCGTCGACTGGAGTTGTTGTTGCTGCTATTCTGGCTAATCTGGTCCACACTTGTTTCCAAAACGGCCCGTCGTAACGCAATTAAATTCACCATAAAAGGCCAGGCAGAAACTGGTTGATATGGCACTCTGGAGGGAGGTAGATGTTGGGCTGGAACTTGGAGCAACCTAGAGTCTTCAAACCATTTAGTAAGGAATGGCCTTGAGAAGATGTGATGCTTGGCACTGAGGTGTCACAGGGCAGCGCTTAAACGGATTCCCATGGCTGGAAACCACCAGTTTGTACTTCAGGTTTACCAGCCGCTCAAGTTCTGCTTGCTCCTCACCTTAGGGTTCGTGATACTTCCTGGTGCAACGGGCGTGTGTGGCCAGCATGAGACCCATCCCAAAGCATCCATTAAGCCATGGCTCTTGCACAAAGTGACTCGTTCCTTCAACATCCTTCCACGTCATGTAGCGGAAACATCGAGGAAGAAGAAGGCTTTGGCTTACAGCACGGGAAGGTGGACAAACCATATACGAGCTGTTTGTTCTTTTCAGGGTCCAACCGTTTGCCACAAGGCCTGGATGCGAGGAACTGTAAGGGCCGTGTTTCCGGCCTGTCAGGCCTGGTGTGGCAGCTCGGGCGCTCGACGTTCGCATTGTTTGGATGTGTCAGCAAATCGAATGCTTGAAGCTTTGAACAACAATTGCTACGCGCACGCGATGCGCCTGTTTAGAAAAAATGTTGTTTGCCAGTCCTCGATCAACTGAGTTCTTCGCTTGCGCTTCTACAATGCAGTCAGGAGGCTCTGATGCTGGTCGGCCACACCCCTTCAATAGGCTATGTTTAATTCTGAGGCGGTGTTCTCAGCCGCCAATCCAACGTCTGGGCGAATTCCCTTTAATTACAATATTTGCCATGCTGCAATCACACAACCGCAAAGTTCGGATCCTATTGTGGGTCAATTTGGATTAATTTTTCGTACTGCAGTCTCGAGGTGGCCCAGCTTCATGCAACGGCAGTGATCACAGCCAAATGTTGGGTTTGCAAATTGAGTGTAATTGCACCATCTGCAAGATGGTGCACATCCCACAAATTGCGGAAAAGCTGCCCGCCTTCGCTTCTCTTCTTGCTCCCTCATCTGGTCCATAAGGATACTTTCCTGCGCCCCACGTCGTATCTGAGACTTTGGCTCCGAGGGCTGCATAGAGTGCCGCAGGGGTTCCATGACGTGTTCGACAGAAGTGCCCCAGTGGCCTGTGCGTTGGTCTTGCTGAGTGATGTTTGCAAACCATCCCCAGTTCCGGTGGCATAGCTGTATTCAAGCAAGCACAGGACACGGGCTAGTTATGGCTAGGTTAAATGATGAGAAAACCTTGGCTACATAATGGCAACGGTAGACAAGAGAATCACTTCCGCATTCCAACAATCCCTCAATTTGCTCTCAGCAGTACTGACGTTACACAACCCATATCGCATCAGGGGAAAGAATTCCGAAGACCTGACCAAGAGCAAGCCAGCCAGCTGTAGTCCCAGAAACAGGGCAACATCACACATGTAAGCAAGGGGGCTTTCAGGCCGGGTTGAGTGGCCCCTTGCTTTTGCACCAGAAATCAAATCGGGGAATCGGGGCTGGAAGCAAAGGGAACATCGAAGCCCATCGCGTCCTGGAGCTCCGCCTCCTGCTGCTCCCGCAGTTGCTGGTTCTGGCGCCGCCTGGGTTTTGCCACTGGCAAGGGAGGGGGGGGGAGGGTTCGGCGAGTAGAGCATTCACGGCCTAGATATTCGTTGGTCCTTCAAGTGGCCTCTGTTTCGCAAGTAGGAAGTAGGAAGATCAAAACAGAGTCGATGGATGACTATTTCCACGAAGTCATGTCTGAGAGTAGTTGTTTGAGCTATCCCAGAACACGACTGCATCATCAGCAGCCAGTCCTCGACCTTTCTCAAAGGGACCCTGGCCCCAAGTCGGCCCTCAACCTGTTGGCAATGCTACCATGATCAAGGCGGCATGTTCAAAGTAATCTCTTAGCAACCACATCTTAGTGAGTTTCTGAATCGGGGGTTGATCTTGTCACTGCCCAGGGAGGTGCTTGAAACCCACCAAAGACTAAGCTCCTGCCAGGAGTTCACGTAGCCTCGAACACGAGCAAATGCAATGCCCCGACACATCAGCGAACAAAATGCCATGTCTGCATCTGTCTTACATGGGCGTCTCCCGCGCTTCGCAGCATCGCGGATAACGATCGACTCTTGGTGCGTAATGTTCTTCTATTTCCAACTGCTTCGGTCTTCTGAGCTCCATGTGGGCTGATTCCTACTTTACCGTAAAATAAGCTGCGGTCAAGTGCGATCAGACTGTTGGCGATACAAGCTTGACAACAACCCCGATTATGCATTCGTACATAAACAAGACTAAAGACAAAAGACGAAACAAAAAGTGGACACCCCAACAACCCTTCTCCTTATCAGCCAACCAAAAAGTGATTCAATAAGAGTGCAGCCTCATGGCAACTTTGTTCGAGGATTGATCTCTGCAAAAGACTTACCCCTTTCGTATCACCATGAAACTCAATCATGTGAAACAATGGTGCGTCAACCTCCGATTCATCTTTCCAACCAGGGGCGTGTATCGATCCTCATCCCCGATGCAAATTCTAGACACTGCCCCGCGGATTGTTGCTCTCAGCGTCGTACTCCTCTTCTTTCCGGGAAATCTCCATGGCCTTTCGATCGACAACTCGAGGATGTACTCACTTTCAGGGAAGGTAGGATGCGTCGGTTGGCTAGCCACCTGTACATTTCCTGAGTGACTTTAAAATGGTCTTTTTAGAACCTAACTGGTGGGTTGGCGAAACTGTCTCTAAAGTGGCAAAGAAACATCATTGCTGCCCGCTGCAACCGAATGATACAAGTATGCGAATCACATTACAAGGCGGCGGTGCTGCGGAACCGCCTGATGCCGTGCTTGACTGTAATTTGCCATCACGTGTCATGTTGCCAGCACAGCTATAGAACATGGGCTAATCATCGTAGAACCCCAAGCTTCACGATTCAAATCAGTTTGGGCCGCTGGCCAAGCAGCAAACCTTATGACTTCCAGCGGACCCTCTGGCAAACTTCATTTTGACCATGTGGATGATGTATCGTCCTCTGCTAATCAACATCTTTTAATGTCCCGTCAAATTGCCCTCAGCTGGTAGTCTGCTAACTTGCACCACTCAAAGAATTCCACAGTACCAAGTCCAAGTCATGCTTCCGCAGTCTTGCTCATGTTGCAGCGCCTGCCGTATCATCTCCTCCTCGTTTTCGAGTCGGGCGGTCTGAGGCAGGCAGCTTGGCAATGTTCCAAACGTGAAGAGCCCTCGTGCTGTTCAAAAGCAGGAAAACCTGTTCTCTTTGAAATGTCAATTTTGCGGCCAGATTTACGAGTCTCCGTCATGTTGTGGCAGACACACGGAACCACACGGGACCAAGTAGTGAAATATGCAACTTTGCGGTAGCCCGGACTCGGCCGCTTGTGTTGGAGATAAACAGCCACGTGCTTGGAGCCATGGTTCACCTGCGATTCTGTGGCACGCTCCCACTGTCAGTACACGAACCTTGGCATTCCAAACACGAGAAGGATATGGATCCTCGTCGAGGGTGCTATGGGTAGGTCGGGTCTTATTATGCCCTTGGCAGTGGGAATCATACAGTATGCCCCCGACAATGTTGCCGTATGTGCATGACATTCTAATGCCAATCAGACATCCTTTTGTTGAGAAAACACACAGGATCAGGCTCGCACTCGCAAAGGCAGACCTGAAGAGCACATTTGTTGCATTGCAAGGAACCACGCCGGATGGGCACCCATTTAAGCGCATATCTGCAAGCTGGATGTTGCCTTGTCTGCCCTGCCCACAGCCTCCGTCTGGGCAGCATAGCTGGCCTCAATGACGGCCGCCTCGGGCGCAGCGCCTATTGAACACAGCTTGCCATAGTGACACCACCAAGACTGCTAGGAGACTTTTCTAGGGGGTCAATCGGCAACTATTGCAAGGACGTGTATTTTGCAAAACCGTGACCATCCGCCACCAGTTGGAGTTTTTGCCGTTCGCTTATGTCGCTGCTTGCCGCTTGAGGCTGTCAACGGAGGATAATTTATTTTGCAAAATGGAGAAACGGAGCGTTGAACAAACGATTCAAACATGTCACCTGAGCTTGACGCCTATTAGTACTGGTGGTGTCAACGTACGAACACATTCTTCGGGTTTAAGTTGCAAATAGGATCAAGGAACTAATTGTCAGCTTCTGTGGACAGGTGCAAATAAGCGTCACAATTGAATCAAGCCAAAAACCGCAGTCCTACAAGAGCCAAATACAGCACAGTGCGAAGTGAGCTGTCCGCTACTTGAAAACAGCTAGTCTGGAATGGCTAAACCAAATTGGTATGCACCAGGCACAGCGGGCGGTACTTGTATGATCAAAGTGATGGCCACCTGCATGGAAAAGGGCACCCGGCTGAAATGCTTTGGCCGATGAACACGTCACGTGACTGAGCATGGCTTTTCCGAAACGTGAACGCACTTGAATGCGTTTTGTGGCAGATCCCCAAGTCGTCGAGCGTAAAGTTGACTGAGTTCAACCTGCTCAACTCGCTCTCGGAAAAATCTTCCCTGGTGTCACAGGACGCCACGGACAAATGAGCTGAGAATCACCTACATGTGAAATGCAAAGCCCAGCTAGGGTGCCATCACGAGCCGCACAAAAAGATATCGACAAACTACAGGCACTTGGTGACTTTGGCCATAGATTCTGGGGATCAACTCCCCCAAACGATTCAGCTCACGAGCTTCTTGCATGCCGCGCCCCCGGCAAGCTGGGGGTCCATCACCTCTCCCTCCGCCTCGGGGCCTGACGAGACAAGAGACGCACGAGGTGACTTCAGTTGGCTGCCTTACCTTCTTCTCAAAGGAAGAATGGCTTGTCGCATCTTGTCACAGAGCAAGCATGCGCGTTTGACAAGCAAACTTTCACATCCGTGTCGCTCGGAATTCACTTTGTTGCGACCAGAAGCTTGAAAAAGCCTGACACGTGCCACTCTTGCATCCTGCATTTCACATAGTACATTTGTCGAATGACCCGACCTTGAAGGTCAACGTAGGAAACGATCAACTGGTCGCATGCAAACAAAAACATCGGGCAATTTCGATCAATGCTTTGCCGTTTCCTTAAGTTGGCAAAAGGGCTGCAGGCTGCAGGCTGCAGTTGTTCTGCGTTGCTGCCGTAACGTTCCCCATGTCCCCCGGGCCTAGGTGGGGCGATCCACCTGGAGTCGCTTTTGGCACTGGCATGGACTGGCAACCAGAATTCGCTTAGCCCAGCTCTGATGCTCTGACGCGCGACCTGCTTTGCAGTGCGTTTTGTCCTCCGGTCATGCATAAATTGGACCTTAGTGGGGATTGCTTAGAGAGCCGACTGGGAACAGCCCAATGCAATGCTATCCCCTTACGTCAAGCACCCTTCCCCACATTGACATTTCTATACAGTGCTGGCAACTGGCAACCATGACAATCCACGAGCAAAAGGGAAACAAAAGCCTGTTCGCATAGCTGCAGGTTCTCCTCTCCGAACATGGGGAAGCTCTGAAAAGAGCGTGAGCTTCCTACAATAAAGCATCTCTTTACTGATGGGATGTGTTCAATTTGGGGGGCCGCCTATGGGCATACCACAGCATCACAGGTCATGTGGCTGCGAAAGAGCTGTTGCACCCTGAGCACACATTGCACAAACTCCTAGAACATGACCAGGTCCTCCATGTGATGAGCAAACAACATAGCTGTGATTGAGTTGGACTCCGCCCCCTGCTCAGGCACCTCTGGAGCTCCCGCGCTCCGCAACATCAGAGCCGACCTGGTCAAATCGCAACACGTCTGTGGGAATGATTCAGTTTGCCAAAGGCCGGCTGAACTACAATATTTCTAGAGCCCTAGTCGGGATCGGCCAAGCTAAGCATGTTCTAAACCAATCTAGGCTTTGGACAGCCCACAGCGCACCTCAACGAAGTGCGGCAGCCCAAACGGGGAACTCGCAATGTTGTCTGTGAAAAGATGGCCTACGGTCCTGAATAGCCACGAGGGCTGACAATCCCCTGAGCAAACACTGTAAACCTTTGAGGGTGCCTGCCTCGTCACGCGCATGGGCTGGAGCCAGTCTGGTGTTTGCAGTCCTGCAGCAATTGAGTCTTGAAAGACGAGAGTATCACAAGTGTTGCTGGCCCCAACAGCTGTTCGGGAGGGCGAAGTCAGAAACCACCTATGTGTGAAGGGCACAGAATAGTCCTGGGAATGTTAGCGTGTTCTTCCAAGCAAGCAGGAACATGTTAAAAACCAACTGTCACAATCGGTACCGGAGGATTGCACGGGAAAACACAGATCCAAACAAATCATTAACATTGCAAATGTATATACAAAGCCGCTCATGAAACATACCCAGAACTATCAACTGTGTCAGCTTACCTCGCTGTTTCTGTTCAGAGCAACTGCGCGGATGAAGTATTCCTGTTACAGCAATCCTGCCAAGCCTGGAAAACACTTAAACTGTGAGTGAAACCTCTCATGGCATCGCGTGGCTTCAAGAATGATAATGCGCTGCTCTACCATTCTGTTTGTCGCACACTCCGATACAGAGGGAGGTTCGTCCCGACACAAGACAATTCGACACAAAACAATTGTGGTTGATTTCTGTTGTTCAGGCTGCTTTTTCGCGTTGCCTAGACAAGTGGAGCCCACAGCAGCTACGCAGTCAAGCATGGTCAGCCCAGTCGGACGTTTGCATTGTCAATGAGATATCAAGAAAATAGACGCCAAGGGATCTGCGTCAATTTCATATTAGGTTGTCAAGATGGCTTAGCTGCTTCCTGAAACCATCTGCAGCTGCTACATGTTAACGGCAATCAATGTGTGCGGCTCTCCTGAACACTAGCCTCCAATTCAGAAAGCTGCACACGCCTGGAAGGGCAGGGCTTCAGATATGCGTGGTCATGCTGGCACAAATTCCACAATGGCAGCACCAGCAGTGTTTTGCACTTCTCAGTTGTGCTTGCCAGGTTCCTCAACATATTGACGTGCAACAAGCACAGGTGTTCTTGGCACTCAGGCTGCTCCCTGCTACAAATAGCTCGTAACTCATCGCCGCGTCCTGAGAAAGTCAAGTCCATTCGTAGCACTTGGGGCTGCAGCAGGCATACCTCAGGCACGCAATCCATAGCATCAAATACCCCAGGCTGCAGAAACGACGGCAGCAGCCACAACAGCACTAGCACCAGTAGTAACACATTGGCCAGCTCGAGTTGCCATCGTGATACATCACATACATATGCATGTATGAAGGAGAGAGACAGAAAGAGAGAGAGAGAGAGAGAGACGGAGAAATTGAGTCACTTAACAGTGCCCAAGAAGTGAACTGAAAAGCGTCGCTTCTCAGCCGAATTTCTCCGAGACGTGCTTGGCATCAGGTGTTTGAAGAAAATGAAAAGCACGTGTCTCTCGCTCTCTCGCTCTCTCTCTCTTTCTCTCTCTTTTCTTCCCTTTCTCATAAACAAATTGCAAACATGTGTTCGCAGGACGAGACATGCTGCATCCGGAACATCTCTGCAGCACTTTCTCAACCATTTGCGCCTAGTGGTTTCACTCATTTGTCCTTGGCTGCATCAGCAAGCTTGGTTTATGCCTCTTTTCAATTCTGGCCAACTGCCATATGCCCCTACAGCTTGATGGCGGCTCCATCTCTTCTTCTGTCTTGTTATGTCGTAGTTGGATTGGCAGATTGCTCTGTTAATCAATGCGTGAAATGTGGGCTGTGCACCGCTTGTGCAGCAACTGTTTTGAAGAAGATAACTATAGACTCTATTTTGATCAATGCATACAGCCTCGGAGAGGGATGCCTTGTCAAAGTATCTTGCAACTACCATCAACCTTTAGGACATCTCGGATACAAATATACAGCCTCTGGCTTTTGGGCTTCAGTCCGCTCCCGCCACGTTCTGAGTGCTGGACTGCTGCTGCTTGAGCCTCCTCACGCGACAGGGTACTTGAGAGAACCTGTCCTGCCCTGGGATGGTAGTGATGTATTAAAGTCTGCATAGCAAAATGTCTGAAGTGAACATGCAAGGGCTCTGTACTACAGCGTTGCTGCCCCCAAGCTTCTTATGTCAACCCACAGTTCTGACCAACCAGCTGAGACAATTCCAAGCACAGCACAAACCTGGACACATCAGATCGAGCCGTAGCCCAGCACAAGAAACCTCAAGCCAAGCAACGCCCGCCCCAACAAACCCCTGCGCCAGTAGCTTATCAGTGCCCTTCAACATGAAACTCATCCCCGCTTGCTGTAGCCAAACGGGTCCAGGTGATGCTGGCCATGTTGCCCAATCCCCTGCTGCCTCTGTTCCGACCAAACACATGACCAACTGACCAACTGATGAACTGACGAACTAAAGCTACCTTTCCGAGCCCATGCTAGGCACATTGCTCAATCATGCCAGAGTTTACTTGCCAACAACATTCGCTGCTGCAATCCCCCTATTATGCTTTTCAAAGCAGCTGTCCACCCCCTCCGACCGCTGTCAATAGATCGCCAGGATGGTGGCAGGTCGTGTTGCGATTTGTGGCCTCCAAACTATGCCTTTGGGTGCCATCAATCTCTAAGAACCACGGCCTGCCTGGCAAGAAGGCTGGAATTTGGCCTCTGGTCTCGGCCTAGAGTGGCCAGCAGGGCGAGAGAACCGGAAAGGTATAGGCGAACCGGGAGGTATGTTTTTCAAGAAAAGCTCATGACTAGTTCTAGGGATCCACGGCTTTTCCGCCTTTAAAGAGAATCCGGTTTATCGGGTAGTTTGGTGTCTGTCTGAAACTACCTGAAATCCTGACCTATTCCCACATTCCCCGTTCAGGGCTTTGTGAAAAGCTGCAAGATACATTGTCACAAAATATTCCTTTAAAAAAAGCGAGTGAATGAGCAAACTCTTCCACCAAAGGCTCAAGTGTTCATGGATGCCATGCTGCGAGTTGTAAGCAGCGACGCATGCGTCCATCTGGCAGCAAGGAATCGAGCACGCCGCCGTCATGCATTCGATTGGCCCTTCTTGCTGCAAAGAGTGGAATGCCTGTGGGGTCCCAGTCCAAAACTAATCTCATGAACAAAGACCACCAAGTACCGCCATGTTTCACAACTCTGAGGCATCAGCATTCGCTTGTCGCTGCGGCTCCTGCAATTCGCCAACTTTAACTGGGCCAAACACAAATCCGGCAAGCAAAATGCACCTGAATTTGCTCACGCACATCTTCATTCATGACTCAGGGACTACCGTGCGCCAGAGAGGAAATGAATCACGTGATGATACACTTGCGTGACAGGCACCATAGCCTCTGACCCTCACAACTTGTCTTGATATGGTCGGTGAGTCCCTTTTCTACCATGGCGTATGTTGAAAGTAGCTTCGACCTGCAAAGCACAGGCATCGTTGCTGGAAGGCTGATGCAAGTTGTGCTTGTGTCCTTGCAAAGCGGTTTCAACTGCTCACGCCTTTTGGCACCATCATCTCAAAACCTGGCGAGCGTTTGTCGAATGTTCGATGCACATGACTTGCCAAGGCAAGGCCTACACAGATCGCCACGAGCATCCCACAGTGGCTTCGCGAATGAGACTGACAGCTATACACATTTGATGGCGGTATTTCCTTGAGCGTGAGAAACAGCTGACTGGGTGTTCGTATCATCTTGATGGTGGTATTGCCCTAATTGTGAAAGCCCTCGGCCGAGTGGTTTTATCAGTTCGGCCGTGGCGTGCCCGCGAACGTGAAAAGCGCTTGACCCGATGTTTACATCGTGTTGTTTGTGCTGCGCCTCCGACCATGAAAAGCTCTTGACCGGGCTTTTATGATTTTGTTTTTATTGGTGGTGTTCCGATGCCTTGGCCCGGTGTTCTGTCGTGTGCCGCCGACCCTGAACAGCACTTGACCAGGTGTTTTGTATCATGTTGGTGGTGGTCTTATCCTAACCTGAAAAGCACCGACATGGCGGTCTTGTCCAATTTGATGGTGGTGTTGCTCTAATTCTGATCCGTGATGGGACCCTGATGGGAATGCAGGATGGCTGCGCGGGCTGTCCAAAAGCGCAGCGAAGCCTAAAACTGATGTTTGCCCCGGTCGCTACTGCCGCCGCTAGCTGAAACTTACAGCAATCCGGCTCTGATTAGGGACCTTTGGCGCTCCCGTCCTTCATCGACTCCTCCAGGGCTCTGGCCAGCATTTGGTCGAACGCCTCGCAGAGGGCTTTCCAAACAATTGAGCAACACGAAGGCCCCTCACAGCGTCGCTTGCCAATGTTACTTGCATCGCCAACATGGATGCGCGGGACTGGATGGCTTTCCTTTCGCATAGCAGCTAGCACACGCATGCAAATGCATGCAAAACTGGGGAAGGCACGGACAGTGGCATGCGCTCCCTCAAATACGCTGACCTCCCATGTGGGACCTCCGTGCAATTCCACTAGACGGATTGCAATGCAAAATGGAAGCACGGTGTGTCTCCCGGTTGCTTCTGGCTCACATGAGCCACAGCAGGTGGCAGGTACATGCGGGTACCAGGACACCTTTCATTTAGCTTCCGGCATTCCAAACCTTGCTGCCAAGCATCGTTACCTCGAAACGAAGTGTTGCTTGTTCTTGCTGCTTTGCATGTAATACTGTAAGAGAGGGGAGAGTGTAAAATATGTAAACAATAAGAACTATTCTAGCTACAAGGCGATACTTGGAGCAAGCTCAGACTCGTTTAGCTCAGCAAACATTTTTCTGGTGCACAGTCTGGTTCAGGGGTTGATGGAGTATACCGCAAACCAGCGCAAAAACGCCTGGTTTCCGCTCCCATGGAAATCGACTCAAATGCGCCTGGCGCTCGACTCTTCAGCCCTAGCTTTGCGCCTGGTGTGCGTCAGCGCCGCGTGGCGCTGCGCTGGACTTGTAACCTGAGGTGCCCAAAGCAGCGGGGCCGCTGCAATGCTGCATATATTGCATATACAGGGTGGCTGAGTGTCATGGGAGGTCACAAGGCAATGCAATCAATGCCAAAACGACTTGTTTCAATTTGCCGTTGCACAAATTCGAGCCGAATCTCGAAAGACTGGTCAAAACGGCAAATCCAAGTCTTGTGTGACCAGCGAAACGCTGCACAACGCGTAGCTGGAAGATCTCGTGAATTTTGAGACCATACAGGACCATACCGGAGGCGCAATGCAACCACTCCAAAAAAGGGCTATTGACCTTGCTTCCAGCATCATCGCCACCTACATGAGCTCAGCGCCAGGCTCGCTTCAATTGCCGCAGCAAGCTCAGTGTCCTGCATCATCCAAATGCAATGATGTGCAAGTGTTGCCAAGTTCTGCAATGCCGAATCTCTGAGCAACAGGCAGATCTGTCGCGTTATAGCTTGCTTGCTATGTTGTTTCATGCAGGCTGGGAAATTACAGGGCCTAGTGCAGAAGCCTTTTCCGTCTGTTGGGCCCGCTGTGCAGAGCCTCAAAGCTATACCAAAATGCCTGTCGTACGCTGACATGTCGTCCTCGGCATGACCTTCGTCATGCGGGAAGCCCTGGCACCAGAGGCTGAGGATGCTTGGATGGCAGAAGTTGATCAAGCATCAAGACTTGCTGTCCATGGATTGTTGAGTTCTTTGGGCATCAAGACTTGCCACCCATGTGAGCAAGCAACTTTGCGCGGCGCACAAACTACGGAAAGCATTGCGTCACAAACGAGCTAACCAGCTGAGCGGATAGCAACAGTCCGAGACCTTGTTTCAGCATTGGGAAATCAGGATGCAACATGGAGTCCACTCCGGGGGCTCTGAATCGACTGCCACAGCATCTCACGGTGATAGGATGTGGCTTCAAGACTTCGTAGCACTTGATGGATGAACATTTGTTCTGAGTCTTGCATGCTAAGCTCCAGCCCACTGCCGCGTCAGCGTTTAATTTGCCGAACTAAGCGTTGTGCCCAACTCCCCAAAGGAAGGCTAAAGCTTGCAATGGTGCCCTTTCTCTGAATTGCATGGCCAACCAAACACAAAAAGGCCGAGAAGGCTTACACATCCGAAACAACCGACAAATACTTTGACTCAATGATGCTGAGTTGCTTGCTCAAGTACACAAGTCCTGTATGGTCACAGTGACAGTCCAAAGGCCCCATCCAGAGCACACATGCTGGATTCAGCAGAGGTGTCACGCTGCAGTTTAGGTTTTCACATGCATATGGTATGCAGGTATTTGCAAACCTCCAGAACACAGAGACTTACTTACCACAACTGACGCCCCTGTTCGGGCCCTCGTCAGCCCGTGGTGGCCACTTTATCCTGGCCCAAATCGCCTCTTTGTTGGTGATTAGTTGCATTGATTCGGATCTAGGTTTTCTGTTTGGTTATGCTGGCTTCCCGGCACCCTAATTCAGCTGCAGTTGGGGTTAGGGTAGTTGGACCACCGCCCACAGCCGCCCATGGGACGAACTCCATTTTTTGGTGATTTTGTGTTTGAACTCCATGTTTTCCGTGTTTTTGCGGTTTCTTGCTTTTTTGGGGTGATGGGGTGGGGGGGGGTGGGGGGGGGAATGCTTACGTCACTTCTTTGAGTTTGCTTGACAAGAACTTCTTTATTTCCTGTTTCTCTGTGTGTGGCGTTCTTTGTTAGTGTGCTGAACTGCCTTGTTTTGCTGCAGCTTCTTGTGCCCAAGCCATGCTGTCAGAAGACGTTCGTCTAGCGTTTGCCTTCATCATCACACTCGGTGCTGGGTCCTTTCTTCACTGTTTGGCTGCCTTACTTGGACTCTCTGCCTCCCGTCGGCTTTTGAAAAGAGAGTTCATCATGCGGTTCCCAGGCAACATGCAGCCTTGAACATGCCAGTGTGTTGCCTGCAACCGAAAAACCGACAAAAACTTTTGGGGAGTTAACCTTTGGGTGAAGAACAGACTAAGGACCCCTTCCCCCCGTCGGCTTTTGAAAAGAGAGTTCATCATGCGGTTCCCGGCAACATGCAGTCTTGAACATGGCAAAATCCTTGACACACGATAGTTGGGGGCTGGAAAAATGAGCTTCTGAAAGCAGCGTGCCAGTGGGATTCGGGAACGCAAGAAATTCCCCACTGTCTCGGCGCATTTTACATGAGGGACAAACGGGGCTCTCCTTTCCCCCCTGTAATCGCAGCTTCGACATGTTGCTCCGAAGCCAAAAAACGCACGATATTACATGGGCTACTATGGGCGGTGTACCTAGTAGTTGTGCTTCGTTTGGGAGGGATTAGTGAGAATATGCATTGTTAATTAGGCTCTGCGCAATATGTCTTCTCGTCAGCCCTCAGAACCACAATTGCAGCAAGGCAATCGCAACTAAATCCTTCCAGTTGAATCATAGGGTGAGGCCTTCAATGAGACTGCATCCACCGCCCTGTCTCTCGCACCTGATTTGCGCCGGCAGCACGAGCAGGCACATGAGATTTGTAACCTGAGCCACCCAACTGGCACTCGGAGTCCAAGAACAGCATGCGGGCATTCAAGCTGTGATGTTCCAGCTTGGCGACGTTTCCGGAATTGGTTGACCTGGCTTTAGCCAATCAGCTTTGGCTTCCGGCGGTGCCAAGTTTACTCAGTGCAGCAACTGTTCTTCTTCCCGCTGCAACTGACTCAGTGGCTTGACGCCACCAGAATGCCGCTTGGCGGTTTACTCATAACACGAGATCGAAGCATGGCAACACGGGCCTGTTCCTTCTGATTCCGATTAGGAATAGCATGTTGTTTGCACAAATGCAGGATTTCTGCTGCTAGCAACAAACATGTAATGGACGCCACCACCATGAGATGCCTGTGTGTGCAGCAAAAATACATGGTTTACATCATAGGCGTAATTTCCAGAGTTCCAAGCACAAATTCTGGCTTCCTCCCGAGATCCTTGCAATTTGGTGACGGTAAACTTGAAAATGGCAGATGTGCACAGTCGTCAAACTGCGCGTGAGTGCTCGTGTTCGATCGAACTCACTATGTGGCCTCAACAGCCATGATACGACTATATATGATATGTAGCACCTGGGTGAATATGCTTGAATTCGCATAGCTGAAACAACACGCTGCCGAAGATTGTCGATCAACTCACTCGTATGAAGCGGTAATGTCAGGTACCCCTGTTGGAATGCCGCTAAGGCCGCTAGGGTTGTACCCTGATTTGTTGGAGCATCACGCTCGTCCCTTTCGAGCAATGTGACAACAACATAGAGGCATAGCTTGAAGCCATAAACAATACAACCTCGCGAGCACATCACATCATTAGACTTCACGGAAACAAACCACAAACCATGCTCTGCCTGCGGCGCGAACTGGAGACCAAGCATCAGGCTTGCTTCAATAGCAGCCGCAAGCTCCGGATCCTGCAGTCGGAGCAACACGAACCGGACGGTGTGCGACCCGTGCCAATTGGGCCACTTGTGGGTAAGCAAGGTGGCAAACTATGTCTTAAATACATCTGTCAAAGAGAAAGTGGGAGTTGGAAGCGACTCAGAATGCCAGCAGGCAAATGGCGAGCACAACGACTGAGGCGCTACCCGGACCTGATCGAGTTCCGCTATTAAGGTGGCGCGCGCATACGTCAAAGCTCAAATGACAAGCCCACCCTTGAAGGCAGCAACAACCAAGGGTCGTAAGTGCATATACATACATACATACATACATTACATACATGCATGCATACATACATACATACATTACATTACATTACAATACAATACATTACATTATATTACATTACATTACATTACATTACATTACATTGCATACATACATACATACAAACATTGCATACATACATACATACATACATACATACATACATACATACATTACATTACATTACATTACATACATACATACATACATTACATACATTACATTACATACATTACATACATACATTACATTACATACATACATACATACATACATACATACATACATACATACATTACATTACATTACATTACATTACATTACATTACATTACATTACATTACATTACATTACATTACATTACATTACATTACATTACATTACATTACATTACATTACATTACATTACATTACATTACATTACATTACATTACATTACATTACACATACATACATACATACATACATACATACATACATACATACATACATACATACATACATACATACATACATACATACATACATACATACATACATACATACATACATACATACATACATACATACATACATACATACATTACATTACATTACATTACATTACATTACATACATACATACATACATACATACATACATACATACATTACATACATACATACATACATACATACATACATACATACATACATACATACATACATACATACATACATACATACATACATACATACATACATACATACATACATACATACATACATACATACATACATACATACATACATACATACATACATACATACATACATACATACATACATACATACATACATACATACATACATACATACATACATACATACATACATACATACATACATACATACATACATACATACATACATACATACATACATACATACATACATACATACATACATACATACATACATACATACATACATACATACATACATACATACATACATACATACATACATACATACATACATACATACATACATACATACATACATACATACATACATACATACATACATACATACATACATACATACATACATACATACATACATACATACATACATACATTACATTACATACATACATACATACATACATACATACATACATACATACATACATACATACATACATACATACATACATACATACATACATACATACATACATTACAAACATTACATACATTACATACATACATACATACATACATACATACATACATACATACATACATACATACATACATACATACATACATACATACATACATACATACATACATACATACATACATACATACATACATACATACATTACATTACATACATACATACATACATACATACATACATTACATACATACATACATACATACATACATACATACATACATACATACATACATACATACATACATACATACATACATACATACATACATACATACATACATACATTACATTACATTACATTACATTACATACATACATTACATTACATACATTACATTACATTACATTACATTACATTACATTACATTACATTACATTACATTACATTACATTACATTACATTACATTACATTACATTACATTACATTACACATACATACATACATACATACATACATACATACATACATACATACATACATACATACATACATACATACATACATACATACATACATACATACATACATACATTACATACATACATACATACATACATACATACATACATACATACATACATACATACATACATACATACATACATACATACACATACATACATACATACATACATACATACATACATACATACATACATACATACATACATACATTACATACATACATACATACATTACATACATAAATACATACATTACACACATACATACATACATACATACATACATACATACATACATACATACATACATACATACATACATACATACATACATACATACATACATACATACATACATTACATACATACATACATACATACATACATACATACATACATACATATGTTACATACATACATACATTACATACATACATACATACATACATACATACATACATACGTACATACATACATTACATACATTACATACATTACATACATACATACCTACCTACCTACATACATACATACATACATTACATACATACATACCTACCTACATACATACATTACATACATACATACAGACATACATTATATTGCATTACATTACATTACAGTACATTACATTACATACATTACATACATTACATATATTACATACATTACATACATTACATACATACATACATAAATACATACATACATACACACATACATACATACATACATTACATACATACATTATATACGTACATACATACATACATACATACATAACATAACATAACATACATACATACATACATACATTAAATACATACATCAAATACATACATACATACATACATACATACACACACATACATACATACATACATACATACATACATACATACATACATTACATTACATACATACATACACACATACGTTACATTGCATTATATTGCATTACATTACATTACAGTACATTACATTACATACATTACATACATTACATACATTACATACATTACATACATTACATACATACATACATAGATACATACATACATACACACATACATCACATTGCATTGCATTGCATTACATTACAGTACATTACATTACATTACATTACATACCATACATACATACATACATACATACATGCATGCATGCATGCATTCATGCATGCATACACATACATACATACATACATACATACATACATACATACATACATACATACATACATACATACATACATACATACATACATACATACATACATACATACATACATACATACATACATACATACATACATACATACATACATACATACATACATACATACATACATACATACATACATACATACATACATACATACATTACATACATACATACATACATACATACATACATACATACATACATACATACATACATACATACATACATTACATACATACATACATACATACATACATACATACATACATACATACATACATACATACATACATACATACATACATACATACATACATACATACATACATACATACATACATACATACATACATACATACATACATACATACATACATACATACATACATACATACATACATACATACATACATACATACATACATACATACATACATACATACATACATACATACATACATACATACATACATACATACATTACATACATTACATACATACATACATACATACATACATACATACATACATACATACATACATTACATACATACATACATACATACATACATTACATACATACATACATACATACATACATACATACATACATTACATACATACATTACATTACATTACATACATACATACATACATACATACATACATACATACATACATACATACATACATACATACATACATACATACATACATACATACATACATACATACATACATACATACATACATACATACATACATACATACATACATACATACATACATACATACATACATACATACATACATACATACATACATACATACATACATACATACATACATACATACATACATACATACATACATACATACATACATACATACATACATACATACATACATACATACATACATACATACATACATACATACATACATACATACATACATACATACATACATACATACATACATACATACATACATACATACATACATACATACATACATACATACATACATACATACATACATACATACATACATACATACATACATACATACATACATACATACATACATACATACATACATACATACATACATACATACATACATACATACATACATACATACATACATACATACATACATACATACATACATACATACATACATACATACATACATACATACATACATACATACATACATACATACATACATACATACATACATACATACATACATACATACATACATACATACATACATACATACATACATACATACATACATACATACATACATACATACATACATACATACATACATACATACATACATACATACATACATACATACATACATACATACATACATACATACATACATACATACATACATACATACATACATACATACATACATACATACATACATACATACATACATACATACATACATTACATACATACATACATACATACATACATACATACATACATTACATACATACATACATACATACATACATACATACATACATACATACATACATACATACATACATACATTACATACATACATACATACATACATACATACATACATACATACATATACATACATACATACATACATACATACATACATACATACATACATACATACATACATACATACATACATACATACATACATACATACATACATACATACATACATACATACATACATACATACATACATACATACATACATACATACATACATACATACATACATACATACATACATACATACATACATACATACATACATACATACATACATACATACATACATACATACATACATACATACATACATACATACATACATACATACACATACATACATACATACATACATACATACATACATACATACATACATACATACATACATACATACATACATACATACATACATTACATTACATACATACATACATACATACATACATACATACATACATACATACATACATACATACATACATACATACATACATACATACATACATACATACATACATACATACATACATACATACATACATACATACATACATACATACATACATACATACATACATACATACATACATACATACATACATACATACATACATACATACATACATACATACATACATACATACATACATACATACATACATACATACATACATACATACATACATACATACATACATACATACATACATACATACATACATACATACATACATTACATACATACATACATACATACATACATACATACATACATACATACATACATACATACATACATACATACATACATACATACATACATACATACATACATACATACATACATACATACATACATACATACATACATACATACATACATACATACATACATACATACATACATACATACATACATACATACATACATACATACATACATACATACATACATACATACATACATACATACATACATACATACATACATACATACATACATACATACATACATACATACATACATACATACATACACATACATACATACATACATACATACATACATACATACATACATTACATACATACATACATACATACATACATACATACATTACATACATTACATACATACACACATACATTACATTACATTACATTACATTACATTACATTACATTACATTACATTACATTACATTACATTACATACATACATACATACATACATACATTCGTTACAAACATTACACCCATTACATACATTACATTAAATTAAATTAAATTCCATTCCATTCCTTTACATACATTACATTGCATTACATTACATTGCATTACATTACATACATACATACATTAGTTACACACATTACAAACATTACATACATTACATCAAATTAAATTACATTCCATTCCATTCCATTACATACATTACATTGCATTACATTAGATTACACTACATTACACTACACTACACTACATTACATGCATACATGCAGTATATATGTATCTGTACAATGTGATATGCATTTGTGTTGCGTCTCCCCAACATCCTTTGCAGCTCTGTTGTTTTTGGCTGTTGCTGGCAATGCGAAGCCTGCCTCGACGCCAAGCTCAGACATCAGCGCAGGATCCAAACTATCCTTGGTGCGAACACATCCAATGAGTTGGAGAGGCAAATGAATCGTATCAGCTTGCTTCCAGGTGCCTAGGCCGAAGCCTGGTGGTTGTCTTTGCAATGTCTGGCAATAATGACAACTGGGGAGGGGTTGTGCTTTTGTCAAATCGAAACTAAGTGCCTGAATCGCTGAGACGGACACAACCTAGCGTCGTGTCCGGCTGAACACGAGGACCAGGCGATGTTGATTGGCAGAAAACCATTTTGTTTGCCTGCGATCTTCAATTGGCGCTCTGCCAATCAAACACATTTTTGCCAGTCTTCTGCAAGGGTTCGTGAATATCTTGGAAACGGAGAAGCCACCTGACCTGGTGAGACGTGTAGCTTCTTGGTCAAGTCTTACACAAAGGGTCACGTCCCAAACACCTCCGCACTAACATTGGAATACTGACTTGGACAACAGGAACCCAGGAACCATCATCTCAGAAATCTCAGCAAGGGTGGCAACAGAATCTAAGGCTGCGCAGAGGCTTCAGCCTTGACATGAAGCAGCCCAAATGTCGCACATTTCTCTTATGGACTTATGGTCCGTGTGGCAAGCGGATGCTGTTCTTTTGGTTGAATGCCTCTCAAAACCAAATCCATGGCTCCAACATTACCCTGGAAAGGTTAGAAGAAACTGATGCAGCTTTCCTGACTTTCATGACTGGTGCAATGCTGTACGGAGCATGCCGACTACACAATAAGCAATACGACCTTCTGAGCCACGCACCGCATTGTTCATTGCGCTTCAGTGCACAGGTTGGGCTATGAAGGTCTGCCAAGCTTTGCTCATTTCTGTTCGGAGTCTCCATGGCTGGCCTGCGGCCAGCTATTCCATGCCATCAAGCCGCTGTGGCGGGACTGATGCAGCGGCCTTGTCGGACCTGCTTGAGGGTGGGAGCTCTCTGTCCGGGCTTGAGGATTGACAGTGCATGCGTTGCCTGCGCTGTTTGAGCCAGCCTACAAAACCTCATTTTCGTCCTGTCTCACGGGCATCAAGGACGATGCAACAGGCCAGTTTCACATTCATGTGACACATGGTACTTTACTCAGTTTAGGAGGTCTTGGTCGTCACCCGTATTTCACGAACAAGGAACATACCACCAACAAATGCAATTGGCAGCATCTTGTGCATACGTGAAAGTCACAAAATGTTGTCAGTTCCAGCGTAGTGCATTTCACAACATTCAATCATGAGTTTGCTGGAGTAAAACTGGCAGTTGAGAAATGACCAGTGAAGCAAAAGCATCTGGACTTAACATCCTCAACTACACCAAGTTCAAGCCCGGCCCTGGACAAAGGCGTGAAGCCAAAGCAAGGGCGGCAACAAGTGCGCCGCTGCTCAGCCACTGCCTTCCGTTTTCTCTCTAGAAAGGCACCGAGCCTCAGTTGGGCAGGGAACAGCTCGCATTGCATAAAAGATCCAAGAATCCTCACCCACCTCAAAGCCATATTTGCCATTACAGTATCCTCAGTTCCTGCCTCCAGTCCCAGATCGTTTCTCTTCAATATCTGACAAACCGTGATTGCAAATATGACCCCCGCCCTTTCAAAACCCAAACAGGCACTCTTTGCTCTTCGGCCCCAGAAAGCCTTTCAACGAAAAGAGCATCCTCGTGACGTGCGGAAGCATCCCACCAACGGCGCGAATGAGAACTGTCCATGCTTAATCATGACCCACCGCTGGTGGATCTGGATCCCTGAGCTGAGAAGTGGCTTGGCTGGCTGCATTTACGGCACGAGCACTTTGGGTACATTCCGCAGCCAGCCCGTTTGCATCCTACTCCAAACAATGAGCACAAGTAAGGAGTGTCTCTTGGAATATCAGTAAAACCAAATCTCGTGGTGAAGCAAATCCTGCAACTGTATAGACACGTTCCCATTGCGGTGATGAGCGCCCAGGGAAATCAACTTGTCCCCCAAGCTCATCGGTTAGCATAGTTGTCGGTCTAGGGCGCAATCAAAATTCAAACAGTAGATACATAGAGCAAAGACATTGTGACTTCGCGAGACCTATAACCCCCAAAAAACAAGCAGCTCATACCGCTCAATTGTTTTATGTGTGTCTGTGTGCGTGCATATGTTGATTTTCGAGCACATTCCGAGTCTGTCCAGCATTTCCATGACCGCAACGTAGAAGTAGAAGCTGCTGTGACAGGGAACTGTCACGTCACAAAAGCGAGTGCAAAAACAAGGCGCCAACCAAAAGTCCCGATTAATAGCAGTGCTCTGCTGACACTGACAGAAAGCCCTTGGCACATGTTGGAGAAGGGTCCGAACCGACGACAAAAAAATACCACTTCAAGTATGCTCCCCTCTCCGCATGTTGTTCTCAGTTTATCAAGGCCGCCTGAACGCTTTGAACTTGGCCAACTTGCCGAGCGGCCGCCTGCAGGCCCGCGTGCTGCATGGCCTGGTGCAAAGGAGCCACTCGGTGACAGCCGTGGGCTTCACCTCGCGCCGGGGTCATGCGATTTGGTGGTGCCTCGCCCATTTGGAGAAATCAACTTAGCCGCACTGGTAGCACTCCGTCTGAAGCCCGACCAAACTGTCCAGCCAGTTGTCAGCTTGCCCATATCGGGTGACTTGAGTTTGGAGGGAAGAGGCTGCTATGAAACACCTTGACATCAACAAGCACGCGATCAATACTGCAAATCAACAGTTCAATTGCTGAGCCCGGGCTGCCTGCTTAGGGTGATGGTACTCCCTTTCAACAAAAAGCAACAGCCGGAAAAACACAAACTTCTGGTGTTGGAGAATCGGGGAAGTTGCAGTACATGTTACTTAGCCTGCTCTCCGCTTGTGCCACCCGCAAAAAGTTGTCGCGATCAGGCACTCATTTTGAGACTGTTTGAACCTTGTTCAACTCCGCATTTGCTGCTACTGCTTGACACACACACACACACGCACACACCTTTTCGAGCGCCACCAAACCTGAAGCATGCATTGTCCTGATCTGAGCTACACTCAAATGAACAATCCTGAACGAGTAAACTTGTTCACCAGTAAGGCTGATGCCGTAGCTGTAGGCCAAGCAAGCTTATCCAATTTCACTATGGGGCCAGTTATGCTATTCAAAGCAGCGTTTCAATGGGCCCTGCCTATCAAACAATTGACAGACCATATTCAATCAGGACTCAACATGATCAGCAGAGCTGTTAGGAGCCGCTCCAACATAGCATGATGTGTCATGTGTCTCTCGTGCCAATCGGAGGGAAAGTACGTGGTGACGTACTTTTTACCCTGCAAGTGCTAAAATGATCTCTTTCTGAGGCGAACTTGAATCAATGTCAAACAGTCCACGTCATTGTTCTCCCAAGCAACCTGTACCTCACATCGATCAATTCTGATCATCAAGTTGGAGAACAGCGTGCCTCCGTCTCGGAATCGGAAAGAACAAGAACAAAAACAACATCGTCCCTACTTGGGGGCAAGTTCTAAGCTCACCTCCCATTCGAGAGACCAGCCCAATATTGCAAATCACAACATTAGGAAGTCTGTTTTTGAGTCGCACAGTTTAGATGTCTCATTCAGCCTTTGATAAGCAAACATGCTAACAATCGGCACATCAAAGTGTTTGCCTTTCGTACACGTTTCATGCCTTGATCTGCGCGCAAGCTTGCTTCTGCTGCCGCGCACATTCGAGCACGGCTTGGATAGTGCTATGGAGTGGCGAAGAAATCATTCAAGGTATTTAGGGGATCCAGCAGGCAAGCAACAATTTTGCAAAAAATATTTCCGGAAATGACGGCCTTGCTGAACGCCCCATGGACCTGCTTTTCCGCACGCGATGTTAACCTCTTGGAGGCAAGGCCCTTCAGATCTGATTCTTTTAGTGCGAACAACACATTGCACTGTCAACGACATCAGCAGGCAGTGCAAATGTATGCACATGTAGTTGCTGCTCATTCAGCCTGAAGGGAAAAACTATCTAGATAGTCTGGCGGAGAAGGCAATGACCTAAGATACTACCAGCCGGCCAGCTCCAGTGATGACAGTTCTGTGGCAGTTGGAAGATGGACTCCGCTCAATTTTGAATACAGCTTCACCTGTCTGATCAGAACGGCAAAGCACAACCATTTCTGATCAGTTGCATATAGAAATGCCGATTCGCACGCAGAAAAGTGTCAGCATCATGCTGAAACAAGAATAGCATCTCGATTCAGTCCGTGTGGATACTGCTTGGCTGGGAGCAAGCTAAGCTGGCAGCAATTATCCTGTCGAAGCACATATCACGCAGGCCCACTGATGAACATGTTACTACTTCGACATGAGTGATGGACAGCTTGGGGGAAAAAATCACCAATTCACTATCACTAGTCTTCAAATTTGTGCCCGGGTGTCAGATCTCAACTGGTCTTGATGGTGCTTCAGTGGCGCTAGCGATGTATGGTAGTGATGCAAGCACAAAGACCCTGAACACCGGTACTCAGCAAGGCAAAAGAAACAGTCCCTATGAGCTAATCTCCTGGAGTTCCCATCACTTGGCCCTACACCCGTAAGGCCAAGCTCTCGTAGAAAGCTCTAGTAAGCAGGCACAATCTATGTGGTTTTCTGGGTGTCCCACTTGTGGGAGTTGGCCAGCTGGTGAGATGCACAAGCTTTCAATCTTTCAGCTATCAAGAGCATGCATATGTTTGTTCGAGTGAGGGGCCCTGAGGACAAGAGTCGCTGATGATGGAACATAGGAACATTCAAGTTCTGATTGGCTCATTCATGTTTACAGCTGCTGGTGCCAATCCCTGTAAACATGTTGCAAGGATGACATAATTTTGACAGGGGCAACACTGAACACTATTCAACTGGATGCTCTGTTTGAGAGTTCAGTGGTCCGCGCCAATGCCCTGCACGAATTGAACAAAAAACACAAGCAGCTCCGCTCGACTCGCAAATAAGGCAGACCAAGGAGTCCAAGCATATTTGAAAGCCATGAGGCACGAAAGTGATCATTGACCCAACAGTCTAGCAGCCCACAAGGTAAACTCCAAAAGCCCAGCATACATTTTTTACACAATTGGGTAGGAATGGGGGTACTCAAAACAGGAAGCAAGAGCGAGGTTGCAGCAAACAGGGGTTCTCCGCTTGCAGGGTGTGCGAGAGCCAGCTCCCGTCCTGAGAGGAACCGAAACAATGTTTCGCTTTGCGGCAAACAAATGTATCGCTTTGCTTGCAGCATGACAAGTGGTCATCTATGCTCCCAAGGTGGAGCTGCGCACATGGTGGAAACGGCATTTTCTTGTTGAGCTTTGCTCTGTTCAAGTGACAAGGCCAGTGGCTTGTATTGTGGGCCCTGTGATTCTGAGCCCTCATTGCTCAGGTGTTACAGTATATCCGGATTCAAAGCAAGTGTGCTGTTTCTCCGCACGGAAAATCTTGCCCGGCTACCAGAAACGCATTCATGGCTAAAAGGTGTGCTGGCCGTGAACAGTACGAGGCTAAGCTTGTGCTCACAAACGCTTCGACCCGAAATTAACCTCTCCGCTGCATTCAGTCGCCCTTCAATTCTTCATGTTGCGGGAAAGTCACCGGGGAGGTCTTTGCCAGCCGCTGAATTGGAAGCTTCAAGGCCTTGCCAACTGGTAAGTTTGCCCCTTGACGAACATTAGACTCTGTCAGCAATGCGTTGTTTGCTTGACTAATGGCGATGTTGCTGAATGCCTGTATAGTCTATACACGTCTGTGCTTTCCTACTTTTCCAGGAGGGTAGCAGGCCGTAATTATCTTCTTGCATGGCCACTTACAGAAATGCGTCCATGCACATCTCTCTGGGGATGGGAGCCGCTAC